GAAAATGGGAAACCAAAGAAAATACAAATTAAACACGTGGTATCGTGCAATTACATGAATAGGAAACTCTTTCTTAGGTAAGTTTTCACACTGATGTACAAAACTTGACCTTGAGTCCACTGCCCTACCTTTCTGTCACTACCACTACATGTGAATTCTAAAATATTTTGCACCAAATGCATACTCCATTTTTCCACAAACTTTTTGAAGTTCCCTCACGTGCACATGGCTCTGAAGGGAATACTTTCTAGGGACAGATGAGTAAAATTTCTAGGATCTCCACATGTCTCAGTAGTTCACATTTGTCAATGCAATACCAACTCTGTGCCTTACCCCGCACACAAGTCTGAAGATAAAAAACAGATTGAAAGAAAGAAAAATGCATTTCAGTTCTCTTCAGAAGCAACCCCAATGCATCTTAAACACTTAAGATTTATGGCTAGTCCCTTGCTCTTATGTCTTTCAGGGTCAACTTTCATGTTCCATTTTCAACATCCCAGAAAGAATATTGAGATATGCTTGGCATTGGATATGAAAGGTTAAGAGGAAAGAATTTCTACAAAAGCAGCAACTGAAAGTCAGCTTTCTTCTCACTGTGCTATACAGAGGAAGAAAGGGAGGGAAGGCAATCCGGAGAGAAAGAGAGAGAGAGAGAGAGAGACAGACAGACAGACACCTGGTTCCTCCACACACTGCATTTCCCAGGGTAGCACTGATATCCAACCTGCCCCAACATGCCTGCTTATGGCCCAAGCATGTAGAAAAGCTATGCTCTTTAGAGAGAAAATTTCAGCAGAGGAGGTTTTTAGGGTTTTTGTTTGTTTGTAATTTCTCACAAGCATCAGCATTGTGCCTTTCTTGGAAATAGCACAATTACCACAATGACGGGATTCACAATCAACTCTGCCCACACCTGTATCTCAGTCATGAAGAACTGGAGAGGAATGCTTAAGCCAGGCCGTCTTAATGCACTCAGACCCAACTAGAAAGGACCTTAAAAACAGTCTTGCCGGTGTAGGCCCCTCCCATCCCTCCTTTTGTGTTCAGACCATGATGTACAACTTAAGTGTCTAAAGAGAAAAATTGCAAAGTATCATTGATTAAAGCAAAAAAGTCACATAATCTTATTTTAAGGCCAAAGGAAATCAAAACATACTCAGGTTTGCAGCATGTGCTCATAAAAAAGCTCTCAATTGGATTTCATAAGAAATATTGATCCTCAGCTCTGAATCCTCTCACTTGGGCTACCATGCATGATTGGGGTCAGTACCTTCTATGTTGGAATTCCTTTGAAGGCATGGATTCATGTAGACAGAACACAGGGGAGAGGAGTCACTTTATTTAAATAAATTGTATCTAAAGCTACTTAGAACCAAAAGAACTCTTATTTAAGGAATGAAGATGCTGCAATGCATTAATAGAATAATAGTTCATTCTGTCAATGGTTCTCTAGAAATTACAATAGGTATAACTAGGCAAATTTTTATCTAAATAGGCATTTAAAATTAAAATTGCCTGCTTATCACATCTAAACACTGGTGATATATTTCACATTTATTTATTCTCTACATATACTATAAGTATACAATCTGATTTATTGGAATTTACTACATATCTTCCAAACATGACCCAAAGAACCTATTAAATGGGCTTGTTGTCTATAATACGTGAATTTAAGCCAACGACCCTGATCCCTAGGAAACAGTGTTTTCAGGTGAGTAAAAGAATTCCAGGTCTCCAAAACAATCCCATATTTCCATTGGCAACATTCTACAAATGAGTCAAATCTGAAAACACAACCCAATGGGCCACAAAAGGGAAAGGCTGGGTACACAGTGAACAAAACCATCTTTCCTCTACTACCTTTGGCCTGAAAGATATGAAAACTAACGTACACTTGCAGATGCAAAATGCTTCAAAGACGTTTTTGGTGAAGTAACTTCCTAGTGGCAATGTGCTTAAGACACTTGTTTGTGAAAGAATCTTAAGGTGTAGCAAACGCTTGGTCACTGAGAACCTAAGAGGTACCAGTGACAGTGACACAGAAAACTTTGGGTGCAGCCCATGACCCACATGACGGAGGCCCGGAAAAGAAGAGTCAACTTCCAAGCCCTCCTTTCCTTCCTGTTTTTTACATTTAATCTTTTTCTTTAATTCTACAGAAAATCAGAAACAGCCCTCTAACCTGAGCTTTCCCCATAGCAAAAATAGCTTCCACTTGCAAGCACACTAGTATCCATTAGTGTTTATTCTCATTGAACCAGCCTCATCCACTCCTAAGAGCTGCTGGCTGCCTTCTGCTTGCTCAAAGATGAATACAAAGGCATTCATTCTCTAAGCCTTGAGATATTCAATTCAAAAGCAAAGACCCTGGCCATTAAAGAATGTGAGGGTTAGTCTCCAAAAAACAGAGCAGCATCCTCAATCCTCTTCAGGTGTGTAGAGGGGAACCATGACTTTTATTTAAAAAAAATAAAGAAAGGGGAAAAAAAAAAAAAAGACAAGAAAAACCCTACTCAAGTATGGAGGTAGCAGCCAGAGGAAAGGGAATCTCTCTCCTGGGAACTTTAGTGACAGAATCCAAACAAGTGAAAATATGAATGCCAGCTATGCAGGCCATTATTCAGTCACAGTAGCAATGCTGAGAACCCTGGGATGCAACCCTCATTTCCTTTTGTTAATCATTCACCAATCCTGCATGAAAGAAATAAACTATGCTTTTTCTCTGAATTATCATACAACTTATCTATTTAAACTCACCCTTGATGGAAAGGTCATAATCTACCTTACATTACAATTTCCCTTGTTGATACATGCAAACCAGGTCAATTTCTGGCAGATTTGCATACTTGCATTTTATCCCTCAATGTAATTCCTTGTTAAAGGCATACAGAAAAGATTTAGACGTCAGACACAAATAAAACAAATACTGCTTAAACATGTACAAAAAAACTGACACCATTTACAGATTTCCACACTCCCCCCTTTTCCTTGGGGCTGAGAGTCCTGTCAATAACCATTACTTATTAAACAGGCTGCCATTCCCTTCGACAGAATGTAGAAGAGAGCATGGAGGGGCAGAAATAATTACCTTAGGTTTTCTTTAAAGACCTCCAAAATGGAACACAAGGGAATCCATTGAGAAAGAACACGAAATACCCCCACCATGTGCCAGAGCTCCCCTTCCACACACACACACACACACACACACACACACACACGGGTGGGAAGTACACCCACACTCCATTATTCACATCAACTGCTTCAGAGAAGATGAAAAACCTGGGATGCTCAGGACAGACGCCTATTTTTAATCCATTGAATACATTCACACATCCTCTCCTCAATCCTCACCCCTCCACAAAACTCAAGCTAGATTCGTGGACAGAGGCTCTAAACACCGCCTGGGAAATCTGCTCTCAAAAACAACTGCTTCAAAGGAGAGAAAGGGGACCTGCGAGTTACCAGCTCTACTGCCATCCTGGTTTCTCCCCTCTCCTGCCTCTCTCCCAATTTACTGTCTGGCCTCCCCTTCCTCCCCCCCACCCCCCCACCCCCACAGTAGGGCTGGGCAAAAGGTCTCTTTCTCCTGGACCTTACTGACAAATATACACAATTCCAGGGGAGAGTTTCAAGGGTTAAACACCACCCACGGTAAGATCACAGGTCAGGGAAATGAAAAATGACCAGGTGACTGAAAGCAAGCTGGGTATTCCTACCAGCACCAAAGAGCAAACGGGCAGCTCTCTGCCTCTCCCCGAGCTGTGAGGGCTCCCGGCAGAAATACAAAATAAAGACGGTGTCGCCAGGCAGTCTCTGCAGAAAAGCCTTGCACAGAACTTGAACCGACACGTGGGGGGTTTGTCCTAGATAACCTTCACCGGCTGCACAAACTGGTCCCATATCCTGATCAATAGATGAACGAGGTTTGCTGAGAATAAGAACGAGGTGGGGGTGGGGGTGTGAGAGGCCACCAGTCACCTCAAACATTCACAACATCCAGAGAAAATATGACACTTCCTACACAGCTGAAGAGGACGCTGTCGGGCCTGGGGTGCACCGGTCAGTGAGCGGCACCGACTGCACACAGGCTGACAAGCCGCCTGCAAAGCAGGGCATGTGGGCTGCCACCTTGGAGGGCACAGAACCCTGTCCCACCCCGGGGCTGGATGCTTTCAGAACACAGGGGATAAGGGACGAGGGGCATCCGCCACCTTTAAGAAAGGAACAAAAGCAAATGCTTGGCAGAGCTAAGGGGGGGTGGGGGGGGCAGCTCCTCCCTCCTCAGGACGCGGGAGGCGGCAGCTCTGCAGGGCTGCCCTCCTATTTCCTCCCGGTTGAGACTCACTCTCGGTGGCCACGAGAACACACAGCGACACCTTGGATGGGCCATGGCCAGGCTGGAGGGGCAGAGGGTCCTGAGCTTAGCCCTGGGCCACGGATCACCTCCTTTCCCTACCGCCCCCAGTGGCTTCTAATTAACCCTTCCTGGTCCCCGTCTGGGTCAGGGCTTCAGGAAGCGAGCGTCTCCGGCCACCTCCTGCCAGCATCTCCATCAGAATGGTCACCCGCACTTGGCCCGAACTTCCCCCGGCAGTGTGGGGACGGCCGATTCGCAGGGTCGCGCGGGGCTCGACTCTCTTCCCTTCCCTTCGCACCCGGGGAGCCCCTTCCCCCCGCCCGCCCCCCGCCAGCCGTGGGCAGGACAGGGGGCCGGGCACTCGCCAGCAGGTCTGCAGCGGGGAGACTCCGCGCTCGCCTCCACCCTCCGGAGCGAGCTGGACGGTCTCTTCTCCGTCGGGGCTCGGCGAAGTAGGGCCTCGGCTCTCCACGGCCTCCTGCCCGGACTCCACACGCCCCCCGACCCCGCACCGGCCGGCGCCTGCGGGGCGCCTCGTGGCCGCCGGGGCCGGGGAGCCCCGAACCCGCCACGGGAGGAGGGAGGGCGCTGTCTAGGAGGTTCAGCAGGAAAGCTCAGAGGAGACGCGGTGTTTACTTACGGAATTTGGGGCTGGTGCTGGTTTCTGGTGTGGTGGTGGTGGTGGTGGCGGCGGCCGCGGTGGTGGTGGACAAGGAGGAGGAGGAGACAGCATCCTGGAAGGGAGACAGAGTCCAGGCGGGAGTAGAATCGTGAAGGTAGGAGGAGGTAGCGTATGCCGCAGTGGGCCAGGAGGGCATGGCCTGGGTGCTCGGGGCTCCCGGCACCGGGGGTCCAGAGCCCGGCGCGCTGCTACTGAAGAAAGGGGCCGTGCTGGACAGGGCCGTCGGGGGCGCCGCGGTGCCCCGTGCCGTGGTGGAGCGAGGGCTGGCCCGGATGGGCACCCGGTGGCCCGGGAAGCGAGTGGGCGCCCGCGTGATGGTGGTCAAGCGGGTGCTGATCCGGTTGGGCGTCCTGGAAGAGGTGGCGCCGCCGGCGGAGGGGGTGGCGGGGGACGCGGTGGAAGTGGTGGTGGTGGTGGTCTCCATGGCCTTGGGGAAGGAGCTGGGCTTGGAGAGGAAGAAGGGGTCCTGGCCCATCCCCTTGGAGTCCACCAGGTCTGTGGGCACGTACTCCTGGACGGAGCCCACCACGATCCATTTGAGGAGCATGAGGCTGAGCCCCAGGCCGATGAAGCCGATGAACAGAGGCACAACGCACAGCCACGTCTGCTGCCGGTTCCACACGATGCAGTCGCTACAGCGTAACTCCCGGGGGGGCTCGGCCGCCCCTTCGCCGCCGCCGCCGTCCGGGCCCCCGCCCGCCGCCGCCGCCGCCGCCGCCGCCGCGGTGCTCTCCTCAGCTGAGGCGGCGGCTGCCGAAGCGGCACCAGGTGGCGAGGCAGCGGCCGCGCCTTCACTCATCCTAGGAGCCGGTCTTCACCTTCGCCCCCCGAGGGCCGCGCCAGAGGCATGGGGCCGCGCGGGCCGGGCGCGGGCGCGGGCGCGGGCTCCGGCGGCGGCGGCGGCGGCGGCGGCGGCGGCAGGCTCGGGCGCAGGCAGCGGCCGCCGCGGCCGCATGCAAATCGGCTCCCTGCCCCCACGCCCCTCCCCCCGAGAGGCGGGCGGCGGGCGGGGAGGAGAGGGGCGGGGGAGGGGACGCAGGCCGGGGAGGGGGCGGCGAGGAGCGCGGAAGAGGGGCGAGACGGGCCCCCGGCGCCGCCGGCCGGTCAGGGAGCGGCGGGGCGCGTCTGCAGCCGGCCGAGCGGCCTCCCGCGCGCCGGGGCCCCGCGCCCGCCGCCGCTGCTTCTGCTGCTGCCGCTGCCCGCCGCCTGCGTGCGCTCCAGCCGCGCCCGCATCCTCGGGGCGCCGCGCCCGGCCCGCTCCCTAGGGCGCCCGCCCGCGCCGCCGCCGCCGCCGCCGCCGGGCCTCGCGCCGACTCAGGGGCCGAGCCGGCCGGTCGCGGGACCCCCGGCGCCGGCGAGCCGCATTCCGACACAGGAGGGCCGGCCCGGCTGCCGCTCGCCCAGCGCCGCGTTCCTCGGCGGCTGCTCCGCGAGCCGCGGAGCTGAGATGCACCTGTTCTTCAGCCGGCCCGCAGCCAACCCTCGGCCAGCACTCTCCGGGAGAGACCAATCCGAGCGCAGCGCGGAGGGCGAGCGGCCGGCTCGCCTCGCTCCCGCCGCCCGCAGCTCCGCGCCGCCGCCGCCGCCGCCTGAGAGTCCAAACTCCTGAGAGCCGCGCCGCCGCCGCCGCCGGCCGGGAACCTGGGGCGCCTGGCCCTACCGCCGAGGGACCCCAACGGGAGGGCAAAGGGTTGCAGATCAGGCCCGGGCGCCGCGGCCTGGAGGAGCGTGGGGAGGAGGAGCCGGGAGACCGCGTCGGGGGATCCCGGGCCGGAGGCGGCTCCAGGCGGGCGCGGGTGTGTGCGGAACCGCGGCGCACGGGCTGCGATTCGGGCGGAGTGGCGCCTCCCACCAGCACCCAATGGTGGTTTCTTAATGCGCACAAGATAAATAAATGAGCCAAGCAACACCACCACCGCCACCCCCCGCCGCCGCTCCTCGATGGAGCTGTGTGGCCAAAGCGGCTCTGGACCGATTGTGGGTCCTTGGGGTCGTAGCCTGTCGCTGCTGGGCCAGGGAGCCGGGCGGGCGCCTGGCTGTGGTGCGGCTGGAGGGAGAGCTGCCTTTGGCGCCCGGTTCCCGAGGAGCTGCTTAGGGAGGAAAGCTGGGAACCTTTGTGCAGTCCTACCCGCCAGATGCCGCCAAGCCATTTATAACTTACCTTACCTCCCCGTCCCCACCCCCACTCCACCCCACCCCCCAGAAAAGCACTGTCTTTAGTTATGGGTGCTCCCACAACTACACACGTCACAAGGCAAGTGCTTGTGAGAGGTACAATGTTATAGGCAGTGGGGTAGAGAGCCCACGGTCGGCTCTCTGTTTCTTCCCTTGCACTGGGAGGCACCTGTGTAGCTCTGTCTCTCAGGTGTGGAGTGGTGCTTGTCTGGGGGCCCCGGCTGCGCAGAGAGCAAGCCAGGAGCGTGGAGCCGGGATCAGCATAGTCTATGCTGATGGTGCAAAACTCGCTCGCTCGCCAACTGCGCGGATTTGCTGCTCCAAAGTGGAAACCAACAACGAGGTGTGTTAATTTCCAAGCTCCTGGAATGAGAGATGGAGGATGGCAGCCTCCTAATCCGCCTCCCAGCGCTTGCTGGCTGGCACCGGTGACGCAGCCAGCGTTCTTCTGTGATAGTTCTCGCAAAGGTGAAGTTTTCAGGGTATCCATTTTATTCACAGGTGGAGAGCCAAGCGGTACTCTGCAGAGAATGCATTGGATCAGGAAGCCCCTGGGGTTTTGGTGCCTACTAGAATATACAGACACGGTTAATAAATAATTTTTGATGGCAGTCATGCGGCTGCCATCTCTTTTGGTTACAACATTGAAACTTTCCCCCATAGGAAAGCGTTTGATTTTTTTTTTTAAGTTTGCTGGAACATGCCTCAGTCCAGTAGTGCGGAAGAAGGGTTCCAGAAATCGCGAGTGGAAAAAAATATATATCACAAGTCCTCGAATCCATATTCCTTCCTCTTCCCCAGTGCAGATCACCATCTTCTTAAGAATGGTCCCGGTCTGTGCCTTCTCTGGGTGTTGCACCTCTACCGCTCAGCCTTTCTTGTAGAACAAATAAAAGCTGTCCCTCAGGACGATGGAATTACAGCAGGGTCTACTGTCAGCTATTTGAGACAGAAAATTACTTATCCAACAAAACACTCCTCGGTCTCTGGGTCCCCAGCTTTCCTGTCGTCCCTCCCTTCTTCTCTGCCTGCTGGAGTCTTTAAAAGGAACAGGACTGCAATGCCACAGCCAGGGCGAGCCCCCTCTTCCTGAAATGCCCTGGCTGCAGCATTCCGGTCCTTCCTCTCCTGAAACCACAGTCCTGCCACGTCCACACCACGTCCTCGCTGTATCCCCGAGGTCTTCTTCACCCACCTGTCTAAATTCTTCTCATTGCCACTTGACTTAACGACTTACTCATGGTTCCCTGCTGGGTTCAATTTCTGCCAGATCCCAAGCCACTGTGCTCAACTGCCCATTAGCTGCTCTCACAGAGATCATCATCACTAGGGGAAAGAAACAAAAGCAGGAAGAGCCCATTGCTTGGACAACCTTCTCATGGGGGGAGGGTTGTTCCAAGAATGTTTGGCTGGTGCAGCCATCACTAACTTGCGGTTTTATTGTGAGGCACCCTGGTAACAGGTGGTAAGCACTAGAACTGGGAATTGGGAGTGGGGGTGATGTCTACAGTTGAGTCAAGGACAAGTGGTAGACCCTCTGGATGCTAATGAACTACCAGAACCAGCAGTGAAGTCATACACACACACACACACACACACACACACACACACACACAGCGAGAAGGGGCTTCATTCTAATGATTCACCACTCCATGAAATCAGAACACTAGAGACAGAGACTCGTAAGACAAGGATTCAGGTTAAAATTCTCCCCACTATGGGCAATAAAATCACTTAAGGCCACTGTTTTCCCAACTTTGAAATGGAACTAAACTACCTATACTCTGCAAAATGATCTGAAATTGCAAAGCTAAATGGACTGCTCACCTGTGACATTGTTTAAGCATCATTATTAGATACCTTCCGATACAGAAAGGTGCGGATTATTCTACTGAAATTCAGTTTCCCTTCAAGGCACCAGTTTCCCCAGGCTGAGAAGCTCAGTGACATCTCCCTCCACTGAAAATGAGTTGATTAAAACTTCTTCTTTAGAACTGCAAGGCTGAAAGTGACCTTAGTTGCTAAATATCCCAAATGTGGCATCCCACAAATTGTACCAGTCCAACAGTCATTTGGTTGCAGCTGGAGCTCTGGAGAGGGTGCCACATCCCTGGGAAAAATCAACAAACCTGTCAACAGTATGCATAATTGGAGCAGTCTTGGTGCTGACCCAAACATTTGTCTTCCAGTACATGCACCCCTTCTTCTTAGTTCATTGGCTATAGACACCTTCCATGAACAAGAAGCCAGGCATGGAGCATTTAACAGAGAGCAAACTAAATGTTCCTAACTGCATGGCTCTTATATTCCAGTAAGAGAGACAATAAAAACAAAATTCATAAATTATATATAGTCTATCAGGAAATGGGAAGTGCAATTTTGGATCACAAAGAACTTGCCTGGTTGGTGTGCAGACACAGAACATCTCTTCTCCAATGTTGCCTCAAGCCTGAGAGATAGAATAGAATAGCATGCCTAGTGATAGAACAGTGTGTTCTCTGCGTAGTGTAGTCATTTTAGAAGCCAATCCGACCTGCACTGTTCATAACATCCTGACTCCAGTGATCCTGCATAACAAGCCAACATCATAAATTAAATGGCTCTGGATTCTGATTCCAGCTTTCTGCTAGTGGTGATGGCTCAAATGACTGGGCTCCTATCCACCATGTCAGAGACCTGGATTGAGTTCTTGACTTGCAGGCATTTGGGGAGTGAACCAGTGAATGGCAATGTGCATGCTTTCTCCCCCACCTGCTGCCTCTCATAAGTTATACACAGCAAAAATAGTGGAAAGGTGAGGAATTCCAGTTCTAACTGTATCCTAATCACAAAAGATAATTAACTATTGGTAGACTATGAGTATTGGATATCACCAAATTACACTATTATAAATTAGTAAATGCCAAGTACTTTATAACATGATCTGAAATTAAGAGTCTTGAATGATAAGCAAAAAAAAAAAAAAAAAAAACCCAGATGTGAAATTTTAGTGGGAGTTGCTGGAAGACAATACCCAGATTTCAAAATAAGCTAAGAACTGAGACGATGACACAATCAACTGGAGATGGAGGGAGGATTTTTGTGAAGCAGATTTCTTTAGCAGAAGCTGTGTTCTGAGTGCCAAGGGGGAGGAGCACAAATAAAGAGCTTTTGTACTTCAAGTGCAGTGAGAGGAGACTCCAAGGAGAATCCCAGAGAGCTTAGGATGGGACCCCTAGTGTTTGGGCCAGTATCATTGGACTGAGATAGACACACAAGCCTGAGGAATTGTAAGTAAGGAGCTAGCTAAAGTGGATTGTGACAGCAGAAAGGCACTTTACCCATTTGCCATCCCCAGAAGTTTGAAGCCATTGTACGTGGCCAGATCCATTTGGAATGTAGGGTGAGTGCAGAGGAACAGAAGGAGAAAGTGAGCTGGAAACCCTGTGTTAAAGAATCTCTGAGTGTTGGCCGGTGCCACGGCTCGCTAGGCTAATCCTCTGCCTGCGGCGCCAGCATATTGTGTTCTAGTCCCGGTTGGGGCTCTGGATTCTGTCTCGGTTGCTCCTCTTCCAGTCCAGCTCTCTGCGGTGGCCCAGGAGGGCAGTGCCCAATGGCCCAAGTGCTTGGGCCCTGCACCCACATGGAAGACCAGGAGGAAGCACCTGGCTCCTGGCTTCGGATTCCAGCCACTGGGGGATGAACCAGCGGAAGGGAGACCTTTCTCTCTGT